CCATCGGTGGCTGGCAGCAGCGTGGGACACACCTGCCCACCTCCCTGCCTGCATTTAGCTGCCTGCACCCTGCCAGTCGCAGAGCAGGTCACCATTGCTTGTGACAAGTGGCAGGGTCAGCCTTGAGAGCAGCATCAGGTCAGCTCATCCCCTAATGCAACGATGTTTACGTTGTAGTTTTACCGCTGGGATGTCACCCATCCCCTCCCTGGTTGCAGGGAGCTGGTCAGGCAGGGCTCTTCCATGGGGTTGCTGTGTTGGGCAGCGGTGGGCAGAAAACCCTCCCTTGCAAGGGGAAGGGATGGGGGAACAGGGAGGATGTTTGGGGTGGAGGGCGGTTTTTTGGGGCTAGTGGCACCAGGCATCCATCCCCTCACTCCTAGCAAAGCACCTTAACAGAGCGGGAGGAGGCCAGAATTTCAGAAATCTCTGAGCTGTGCAAGGAGAGCAAACTCCCATCCAGGGACAAACATTAGCAAGGCTGGAAGGAAAAACAGCAATGGTGGTTTTGCAATTCACTGTGTCGTCAAGGAAATAGCACAGCGTGCGCTGCTGACAAAAGCTTCCTAAGGCCAGGGTGCTCCAAAACCACTTGTCCCTGTGTCCCCGGCCAAGCTTTTTCCCACTACATAAAGGACTTGTTACTTAGGTCCCCAGCAAAGAGATCCTCGAGTTTGAAAAGGGAGCAGGGAACATGGGGTTGGAAGGACGGGGCAAGGTGCAGCCGTTCGCCGTGGCTGCCGAGCACCCAGCACAGCAGGCGAGGTGCAGTGCGTCCGCAGACCTTACCTGGAGCGTTTGCACTCCCAGGGTTATCAATGCCGAGAAGTCGGAATTCAACGAGGACCAGGCGGCCAGCTGTCAGATCTCCATCCGGAGGAGAGAGCCAGGCCTGGAGGAGGATGAGGAATGGCTGATCCTGTGCTCCACGCAGGTATGGCCCATGGGCAGGCTGTGCTCACCCAGCTGCCAGCCCTGGTCCGCACCCAAGGGCCCAAGTACAGGAAACATGGGGTTGCCCCATCAGTCCTACATGCCCACGTGCTGAAGCCCTTCCTTAGATGCATTTAGGGGACCCATGTACCCTATGTCTGGCCAGCAAACGCCCAGCTCTGCCCATATGTGCTGTTTCTATTTCCGTGGCCCGTGCCTTGCATCAGTCGTCCAAGCCCTTTTACTTGGTGCCCTCACCTTTCCTTTACTGTCCTCACTCTGCTTTCGAGGGCCGGTGAGCATGGTCATCACTCGGGGACAGCAGCATGAACCAGGCACATGGGATGCTCTCACCTGGCAGCGGCTCTGCCTCGCCTCTTGTAAAATGGAGTAGCCCCATCTCCCCTAAAACACAGAGGAATAGCCCGTGAGGGTGGGTGGCTGCGAACCCAGCCGCTCAGAGCTCAGATGACGGGCCTGCCAGAGCAGCACATGGGCGTCATGTGAGTTTGAGCTGCGCAGGGATTAACTGGCACCAGGGAAGAGTGGCTGGGGTGGAAGAGCCAGGCAAAACATGTACAGCAACGTCCTGGCTGCAAGCCTGCCGTCTGTACGACCTCTCTCCAGCCCCTGTTTCCCCCTCGCTGAAGCTCCCCTTCATTGTCTTGTCCCTTTTCCCCACTGCAGTTTCTGACTGGTTACTACTGGGCACTCTTTGATGGCCACGGTGGCCCAGAAGCTGCCATCATCGCCTCCAACTATTTGCACTACTGCATCAAGCAGAAGCTGGAGGAGGTTGTGGGAAGCATCACAGAGGCCCGTCCCCCCATGCATCTGAGCGGACGCTGTGTTTGCGACAGCGACCCCCAGTTCGTGGAGGAGAAGCACATCCACGCCGAAGACCTGGTGGTGGGAGCCCTGGAGAACGCCTTCCAGGAATGCGTGAGTAGCCCGTGCAGGCCACTGGTCCTGCTGCCCCAAGCAGTCAGTCTGTCCCTCCCTGCTGCCTGGGGTGGGCAAGGTCTGCAGTTCTGCAACTTGTTGAGCAGGCAGGAACATTCGGCCATACCTTTAAGCGTGTTGAGATGACACTGGGTCAACTCCCCAAGATCTGCCTCAGATCTGTTGCACGTCAGCAGTGCTGACCCAGAGCAAAGCTACAGCATCTCTGCTAAACTGTGCCTAGGGGATACGTTTCTTTAGGGCTAGACGGTGGCTATTGTCAGACTCGTACAGCACGTACAGGTGTGAAAGCTCCCCATCACGCTCTTAAAGCAGTCCGTAGTCCAGTAGCAACATTGTCTTTTGCCTTGCTGATTTCCCATGGCCCCTCTGCAATCAGTTTTGGCTCTGGATTTTTGCTGGAAGGCACGAGGCAGCTACAGAAAGCAGCAGCCCAGCTCACGTCACTCTCCAGGCTTGTTTAAACCAACAGGATGAAGTAATCGGCCAGGAGATGGAAGCTACGAACCAGACGGGAGGCTGCACTGCTCTGGCTGCCCTTTATTTCCAGGGAAAGCTGTATGTGGCTAACGCTGGAGACAGCAGGTGAGCCACAATAAAAGGGGGAAGTTGTGGGGGGATGAGAGCTGGGAGATAACCAAGGTTTCCAGCATCTTATTGAACCCTACGGAAGGTAAATGTGCAGCCCAGCCATTTCCTTCCTGCCTGCCACAGGACCTGTTGGATGCACGGATGCTCTCATGCCTCCTGGAAGGGTCTGGGCATTTCAAGGGACTAACGCTGCCGAGCCACAGGGCAGCGTTGGGATGGTAGTGCAGCAGTAAGCTCAGCCTGGAAGGTGTTTAAAAGTGGAAGGTGATTTCAAAGCATCCTGAAGAGCTTCTTCATCTGGCCTTGGCCCACTGTTCCTCTAGCAGTGAGCTCCACCATCGTCAAACCAGGCAGGCTCAGTTCTCTGCTGCAACAGTGCAATTGCAATGGAGTTACTTAAAATATACCAGCATTTTTAAACGTTCCTGGGTGCAGAGCTATTCTCCGGCATTGCTCCGCCGCTGGTTACCCCCAGTCCCACACCTGGCTGACCCTGGGGCTAGCCTCGGTAAGAGGAGGGCTGCAGTGACGGACACAGCTTAGCTCTTTGCCTCTTCCGCCTCATAGGGCGATTCTTGTTCTGAAGGACAACGTTGTGCCCATGAGCTGCGAGTTCACACCCGCGACAGAGAGGCAGCGAATCCAGCACTTGGTGAGTGACTCCTTCCGTGCATCAGACAATCCAGCTGCGAGCATCCCACTGGGTCAGAGAGGGCTTGTGGCAAGAAGACCACCAGCTTTCCTCAAAGGCCACTGTGTGGCCAGAATGTCATCTGGCACTAGCCAAGGAGGGTTGGGGATAAGATTGAACCAACAGCCTTTGGTATGGAAAATGCTCACATCCTCCTTGGGATGTGCTTTCCTAATTCTGTTCTCCATTCTGCTACTGGGAGTGCCAGTCCCGAGGCAGAAGCAGAACCTGTCCACCCTTACGCCTTCGTTCCCTCCTCCAGGCTTTTCTTTTCCCCAAGCTCCTGGATGGTGAGTTCACGCGCTTCGAGTTTCCACGGAGGTTGAAGGGAGATGACGTGGGCCAGAAAGTCCTGTACCGGGATTACTTCATGGAGGGCTGGTGAGTCCTTTCTGCCTGAGGATAAGGGTGCGACACAGGGCAGCTTTACCTGCTCGTAGTGATGGGGAGGTGAAGGGAGAAGGGGCATGCCCCCCTGGTGAAAGCAGTGGGCTTGATGGTGCAAAGCTGTGCCAGATCAAGTGAAGGATGCTGTGAGCATACTCCCCCCTGACTGAAGGACTGGGGCCTCGGCAGGGCGGTGAGGGAACAGTTGAGATGGTCCTTCTGGGCTCCTGTGAGGTGGGGCTAGTGCAGGTACAAGCTGGGGAGGAAGGGGAGAGGGAAAAACACCTGGGCTTTCAGCAAGGGGTCATCTTCACTGCATCTGCTTCAGCAAGTCACCTTGCCCCTGCCTCAGTGCATGGGGGCACCACGATGGTCAAAATGCTCTGGCTGGGTTGTACCTTCAAGTCAGACAAATCCCAAATCAACGGTGAATTCTCTGTTCTAGGGGATACAAGACGGTGGAGAAAGCCGACCTCAAGTATCCTCTTGTCCATGGTCACGGGAAGCAGGTAGCTTAATGCTTTACACACTGGGAAGGCAGAGGCAAGTCTGCTGGGAGTCCTCAGTGTCGCTGTCACTCACGCTCCAGGGCACTACAACAGACTGGGGCTGCAGGGCACCCAGTGCTCTGGGGCTCTCCAGCACGGCACAGTCCCACAGCCCTGATATAGCAGCTCCCTTCACGAGCACCATGCTGCCTGGTTAGTGTAAACCAGAGCCCTCCAGAGCAGAGAGGTTGCATCCTCCTCCAGAGTACCTGCTAGCGGAGCAGACAGCAGCCCTGAGCCAGCCTGCCCTTTCCTCATCTCCCCTTGCACACGAGAACTCATTTCAGATGAGAGCTCATTTCATCAGATCCCACTTTGGACTGTCTCCTCCAGCTCTAACTACTGCCTTTCCCACAACCCTCTTCCTCAAGGAGAGGCTGAGAAAAGGAGCCTGGAGAGGGAAGGAGGAGGCAGGGCGAAGCAATGACTGCACACATCCAGCATCTGCCTGCTGGGGTCGAGCAGAAAGCCCCGTCACCTCCCCCAGCACTACAACCCGCATGCCACCCCCTTTGCAAGGAGTCAGTGCAGAACCTCCTTTGCCAGGGGAAAGGACCCCTTTTCCACCCCCACACCCCCCTAAACCAACCCAGTTTTCTTCCTCCTCACCCCAAATCAAGAGCAGATGCCACCACAGGCTTCCTGGTCTGTAGCGTTACCCAGAGTACATGTATAACTCCAGAGCGCACCACAGGCCACCAGGAGCCATCCACGGGCAGGCAGGCTGTCTCCGCTCCCCCATCAGGCCATCGCTTCTGATCACTCCAGCATCTCTGAAGTCTCCGGGGGCTGTTCTGGGTGATGCTTGGAGAAGGGTCCTAAATGCAACACATTGATCAGTCAGGACAAGCCACACATCAGCCTTTAAAGGTGCCACATTCTTACGTTTCAATACTGTTTTGCTTTGTTTGGGGCCAGGCTCGCTTGCTGGGGACTCTGGCTGTCTCTCGAGGTCTGGGGGATCATCAACTCAAAGTCATCGACACCAACATTGAAGTCAAACCTTTCCTCTCCTGCATTCCCAAGGTCAGTCGCGGCACATGCGAATTGCAGGATGGAATTAAACAGGCTGCTCCTCCTCTGTAGCACCCACCTTTTACAGACATGGCAGGTCTTAGCCATGTCCTTTTTCCGTCCCCCATCTCTCTGCATGCTGCCCAGAGAATCCCCAAGACAGAGTAATCTAGAAGCATAGCAGCAAGATTCAAACCAACCTGGTCCCACCATTTAAGTCATCTCTCAGGGGAAGACTCATCTCCCTGACCCCTCCCGTACATTGCAGGAATTGTCACTGATTTACTCCTGTGCTTTCCAGGTGAATATATTTGACTTTGCTCTGCATGCCATTAAGGAAGATGATGTCCTCATCATGGCAACTGATGGCCTGTGGGATGTTCTGTGCAACAAAGAGGTGGCCCATATGGTCAGGAGCTTCCTTGCAGAAAACAGGACAGATCCTCACAGGTAATACCAGCCTTGCCATCGTTTTCCCTTCCAGAGAACCTGGTCAGACCAAAAGTAGGCTGAGATCACTCTGCTTCCAGGTCAGCTCTGGCATGACCAAGCTGTCTTTTCTGTGACTCTGGAAACTGCCTCCGAATCTTTCCCCATCCTTAAGAAACAATTATAAAGCTGGTGCCTACTGTTTTGATAACATCTCAATGTTGTTCTTAAGGGATAGTGCCACGTTAAACCAAACCTCGCCCTTTTTCCACCCACAGATTCTCAGAACTGGCCAAGTGCTTGGTATGCAGAGCAAGGGGAAAGAAGAGAGGCCACCAGTGGATGCTGGATGACAGCCACGAGGCATCCTATGATGACATCTCTGTATTTGTAATTCCACTACACAACAGGGATGAGGACTGACTGTTAGCGTGACACGCAGGATCTCTGTGTCCCCCTCCTGTGGTGCTCTTCACCATCGGCCCAAGACTGAGGGATTTCTGCTGTGCATGTATGCTCTCCTCCAGCAAAACCATCTGCAGCGGAACCTGAAAGTGCACAGCCAGCACTTGTGCAGAAGATCAACAAGAACACTAGCTCCTTAAAAACATGCAAGAGAGGAACAGTGGGCAACAAATCATTCGCCTTACTCCTTTCTCCTTGTTGGGCCAAGGAGAAATTGCAAAGGGGGGCACATATGCTGAACAGTACTATTTCTAAGATTGTTGTGGTACAGCGAGACTCAAATCCACATTTCTAGTGACCCCTCTCCCTTTTTAATACTGAAGAATGAGGATCAATTGAGATCCAACCAGTCTTAAGAGCTGTATTTTAATCAGACTTGAACTAAGTTGTGTAAAACTGGATGCGTAAGCTAAAGTGTCCCTTGTATCTGTTCACTGTAACGCGAGAGGTACTGAAAACCCAGGAGCTGCTGCTAAGACAGCGTTAGGCACGGCCATGCCTAATGCAAAGGCAGCAGCAGTAGCCCAGACCTCTTGAGAAAGTATTTTGTAGGCAGCACCACCTTAAAACAGACGATGTTAGTAGATGAAGCTACACATTGGTGTACAGGAGCCTCCTGTGTAAAGATACGTGCCTTACTGTTACTTAAGAGCATTTAAGTATATTGGTATGTAATGCAAGGTACAGATTTCTAACAAATCTTAGTCCACAACACTTGCTAACACTTTTTCTATTCATTCAGGTCATTTCTGACAGCAAAGCTGGTTTTGCAGCAGTAGCACTGATGAGAACTGAAGTGTTTAAGTACATCAGCTGATTCAGTAGAACAGCTCCAAGTCAAATAAAACCGGTTTGTTCAAATTTGTCTGCAGTGCTGAATCATAAGCGCTTACACTCATTACAACAGGAACAGCAGCGCAGAAGACATGCCAAACCGAGTCGTGCCTTAAACTCTGAGGATCTGCTTCTCTTCTTAGCCAGGCAAATTCAGGTCTGGACAAGCTTCCCATCTCCCCGAGCCCCCACTCTCGTTTTCATTATTCCTTACTCGGGTTGCAAGATTCCCTAGTGAAGCGGACAAACCCCAGTGTGTGTTTAAGTTCCACAAGGATGAAAGTCCAAATAAAAATACTTTTTCATGCATCTTACTGCAGTTTTATTCCTGTCAGAGGACAGACCCAAGATGGAGAAAAACAGAGGATTTTTTGCTTAGGATTCGTCTTTGCCGAAAGCCAGTTTGTCACCAGAAGTATTCCCTTAGCAGTACTACTGCAAGGGCTAGGGGTCAAAAGATGATTTCCTGCAGTGGGAGGCCTGGGCCCAAGAATGAGGCAGCCTTCTCGGCTATCTGCTCATGGTTTAAGCAAGGGATAGAACAAAACACATTTCTCTCCAGCTTCGCTTTTCCCCCATCCTCTTAAGTTTAACCTGAGAATGATGCGCGTGGGGTTTTACCCATGTTAACCTGATGCTAGTTGTCATTTTCCCCTACAGCAGCTGTAAGGCTATATATACATTGACTGTAATGATCCAAGTCTCCTGTTACTCTAAAGCAACAAGCTATTTCCCCCCTCCTGCTGAGAAAGGGCTCGGCTCTTCCATGCAGACCACAGGCTTCTGTGAACACCCCTCCACCTAGGGCACCATACGTCAACAAGTAGCTGTCACTCTGACTGCTTCCCTATCCTGGTACATTCCTAGGCAAGAAAAACCTCTTAAAATGGGCAATTTATGTAGGGATAGCTTCAGAGCATCACAATTTCCACTACAGAGCTTCTGACTTTCCAAAACAAAGGGGCTTTAAAAAAAAAAGGATGATTTTCCCATTCCCCCTCTAAGAAACCAGCAAGTTGTATCACACCAGACAAATGCAGAATTTACAGCACTTGGTGATCTCTCTACAAAATATTTATTGGTAACAGCCACAACATTGAATTCTCCACATATTTTGTGACAAAGCGTAATTTGACTTTATATATTTACACTCATCTGGCAGATACCACCTAGGAGTCAAACTCCCCATACCAGCTCACGACCAAACAGACCAGTTTTTGAAAGGCTCACCAGGATCCTAGCCCCTGACCCAAAACCAAGGTGAAGTCTCTTAAAGTGCAAATATAGTCAAGAGGCATTGGAGAAGATACACTGCTGCTTCCAAATTTGTTCACTGAATTGCTCCTGTATGCCCCAGAGCAGGGGTTGGGACATTAAAACCAGGGACCTGGGAGCCTCAAAAAAAAAAAAAAAAAAACAACCACCAAACCAAAACTCTCGAAAAACTAACTTGGAGAAGAGAATTACACCCGAAATCTCCTACAGCCCAAGCAGATGTGCTCAGCCACCACCACTGCTTATTCAAAGGTGGGCTGTTGTGTCTCACTTCCCCTTTGTTTTGAAGAAAGGTCTTTACTTCATCCCAAAGAACGTGGAAGGGATTCATCTTTTAAATGTCAAATTTGGAGGGGGAATGCTGTTTCCTGCTTGGCTTTACATAAGCTTGGAGACTTGGTTAGACCTGGGAGAGCCGTTTTTAATGAGGTCCGTTTCTCATTAGCTGGCTGCCCTGAAGAGCACAGGAATTGCAGTCCTGATACTTTTAGAGAAGCATAGACTGCTGGAAGCTAAAAGCTTTATTCACCTTTCCTGTCTCACTTTCTAGAAAAACACGTGATACTCAAGTTCCTTGACAATACTTGGCACATTTCCCTCGTTTAAAGGCAGATGGAAAACACTCAGTGCTACATCAACAAGAAAGATGTCTTTGCCTGTGTGGGTGGCAATTGGCCCTGGGAAGGCATTCAGCTTTAATTTTGAACTGAGCATTAGTGCTTGTTGTGCACAAACCTGTAAATTTATCTTCACTCCAGAAAGCCACTGATGTTCTTAGTGTACGTGTCCTCCTAGATGAGTCCTTTGGTCCTCTTTTTCTTAAACATTTCATGCTGCAACGCACAATGTTTTACAACACTGCAAGTGGAAGAGAGCTGAACAACCGTCTTTAGACAAGCACTCAAACCACATTAGCAAAGAGCATTTTTAGAATAAAAGACTTCCAAATGCTTCCCTGTGAAAAGTAACAAGAAAAACAGCTGGAGGCTATCTGTTCACTTCCTCAGGCAACAGACTTGGTAAAAACCTGAAAGATGATTTGCTACTGTTAAAATGCACTACAAATCCCAAATACCTGTATGTTACAAACCACTGCAAAATACAGCTGCTTACAGAAACACCAACAACGGTAAAATAGCACCAAGCAGCCTGAAATGCAACAATATTGAGTTGAAGAAGTGGCTGTGGAAACCTAGTCAACTGTGAGGACCAAGATATCCATCTCCATCTCCCTTTACACTGGGCATTTATGGGCGACATTGGACAGTACATGCCAGGAACAGGGATGCTGGTGTAGTAGTACGAATCTCTCATCTGCATCTCCAACAGCAGGCCTGTTTGGCAAGATCAAAAGCATCAGTCTGCTGTTCCCTTCCCTCCTCCAGTCTGGAGGATGGCTAACTCGCACCCCAGACCCGTGCCGTTACAAACGGCTCTAAACTCGTGCAGCAGCATCAGCAGAGGCAAGCCACGGAGCCGAAGGAGAAGCTTCAACCACAACATTGATCCGAACATCAAGTTTATCAGACTGCCTCATGCACAGCAGTCTTCCTGCCGACCGGCACAGGCAAATGCTGTAGCTCAGCATGTGCTGCTACTTGAAAGGAACCAGCAGTGGAGAAATGTTCATTCCCCATCCCCAGCTCTTAGCACAGCACATTTCCACTGACAAGGGCAGTAAAAAAAAAAAAAAAAAAAAAAGGCAAGGAAAAGCAAAACAGAAGAAGCTGTTCTACAAGCTGATTTACTTTTCCAAGGAGACATGCTCTGAATTATATACGGGGCCCCACAGTTGAGACGAACTTTGCTGTAATAGGGGAGTATCTAGACAACTGACCCAAGGTAAAATGCTCGAGCACTGTTCTCCAGTACGGATTGGCACTTGAGAGCAAAGAGAACATGCCCATTACTGTGCCTGTCACCTTACCAGCACCTTACATTTAGGAGAGGGGAAGCACACATGACTGGGTGAGGGAAAGAACGGACTTTCCAAGCTGTGACCCAGCACATAAAACCAAGTGTGTTTGAAAAGGCAAGAATACAATGAACACATTTACACTGAGCCTGTCCCGGCTTGCTGGTGGATGCATCTGATCAATGCAGCGTTTCAGGAAAAAGAAACTGGAACCAGGGTTGAAGACCAGCTTGCCAGCCTTTCTGTGCCATTTGCCCACAAGCCCCTCTGGAGCAGGAGGACACGTCCCTCCCACCTCTTTGCAGGGGCGTTCCTTGGAGCAGGGCCACAGCAAAGCAGAGTCAGCACAGTCAGGTGTAAGATTTTTAAAATTCAATTCTGAAGACACCATCCGGCAAAGGAAGGTGCTCTTTCAGGGCTATCGCTGAAAACCTGCAGGGCCTGTAACAAAATACATGATGGACTAACTGCACGTCAGTTTTATCAGCAAAGGGATACAGGTCTAAGCCTGGTGTGGGGAGAATTTAATGGAGCTTATTTACAAACCAGGAGGGGAAAACTGCATCAGTGAAGGTAAACAGCCTACACACCCCACAATACTGGCCCACATCATATTCTTTAATATCTAAAAGTAAAAAAATATGGCCCATTCCCACTGCCCTCCCCCCCATGATATTTACAAGTAAGATCAGCCAAGATGATACATAAGGAAGATACACAGGCAGACTGTGCTTTCAGTCTCAGTTGGTTTCTGACAGACTCCTTTATTGCTTGGGACGCTGACCGGATCTCATCAGTGCTGTCTGCGCCCTCCGGGATTGCTGGCACACCAAACAGCAGGGAGGCTTCGCCAAGCTCTGGCAGTGGACAAAACCTGTATGGTTTGTTGCACACTAAATCACCAAAAAAAGGATGACAGGATGTATAACGTATATTTACAGTCACCCACTCTTTCGGCATGTGTTCCACTGCAAGAGAATCAAGCATCTGCTGTTTAAGTTGAAAACTGTCAGTGTTCACATTTGGCACAGAAGTAATTTTGCATCTGTGGACTGCAGTGAAACCAGAGATCCCAGATGTGAAAAACATGCACTTACGGGAAGGAACTGCACGTTCCACCTTGGAACATCAATAGCCTTGTGCACTTACAGAAGGAAAACACACAATTACAGCTTAAAAAATGCAACATTTTGTAAATAAAACAGACTTCATTGCTCTTAGAAATAATACTGTGTCAGTTCCAACTTCGGCTGAAGCCTGCTGGCACGGACTGGAAGGTAAGAACGTGTAGCATGCCGCTTCTGAACATGCTAGGAGGTCGAGTGGAAGAGTCCTCGCAAAGGAATGCAGCAAATTAAGGTAAGACATATGGAAACATACGCAGGAACAGGAACACAGTCTAGGAGACCTAGGCAATTCCAATACTATGCTTGCAACAATGTGCTGCTGTTAGCAGTATGGAAGTCATCTGACAGCAGCTGCAGCGTAGGAATTAGTCGTCAATAGTTGGCAACCAGAAGGCCTACAAAAGAGGAAAGAACGAACGTCTTTTACAGAGCAGAACAGAAATCTCTCCTACAGCACACTGTAAGAGCTGATCCCTGCTACCTTCCATAAGCACACAGGCAGAGACTACCAAAGAGGCAGCAACACCCTCCCAGCGGTCTAAGGTTACAATCCGTGCTCACGCTGGTTTGGTTTGCATTGCACGTTCTCCAGAGCAAGCCAGTCTTACACAAACTGAAAATACCAGCCATGTACAGTGACCTAAAGAACTCATACTTCTGTGCGCATTCATTCACTGCTCTGCTCTGATGTGTGCGTTCAAATGCTGCCTTCCCAGGTGTGCTGCCCCACAGATCAACCCGCCAGGTAAGGCGCAATCAAGGTGCAACAGACAGGGGCCTGGCTCTCACCAAAGCCCAAGGAAATACCCATCAGTAGCACTCAGCCTTCTCAGATTCATTTCTAAAAGAGTCAGCACCTCATTGAGCTAGGAGGAACTTAAAACACTTTCCTTACCATATTGGAACATGCACTAGCAAAAGTCATGAATTTTGGATTGAACTGCAGACAGGTTATAGGACCTGTGTGTTTCCCATCCAGCACAGCCACCTTCATCCCACTTTCCCCATTCCAAACATGAATCTTCCCATCCTCCGAACCTGCAGGCAGGAGTGGAAAACAAGATATGCAAGATACATTGGAGAGGCGAGCAGGGAAAATGAAGTACATAACCTTTTCTGTCACAGAACTGTAGGAACAAGCATGCCTCATCTTCATAGCTTAACCTTTAAAATTCCCAAAGTATCACTAGGGCATTTACAAAACATCACTAGAGTTTACACACCTGTACCAAACAGCAGGTTTATATCTTTGCACTGCAGTGATTCAACTATGCAACACAGTGCAATGATGTTGTGATAAAGAGGTCAACAACTACAGTCACCCAGTAGAAAAAGAGAGCTGACACCATCCAACTAAGGAGGGGAGACCCTTGCCAACTTGTACTGATGTGCGAGAGGCCAAAAGCTGGGTCTAAGAGTCACTGTCCACACAAGTTCTCAGTTCAGACACAGAAGGAGATAAATATTTCACTTGGTAGGCACAGAATCAAATCAAAGGCTTTAGCATTGAAGGTAACTAGATTTCAATGCACTATGCCAAATACCAGAAGCTTCACTGGAGATGTCAACTCTCCACGTTGCTAAAACGGAACATGTTTTTCACTTTTAAATGGCATTTTGCAAACCCTGAGGCTGGGCACTTAACACTTTTATAATTCAATTCTGCTTTAGTCTCATTTTAGATAGGATTCCTAATAAAAATGCAAGGAATTTTCTTCTGCTTCTGTATTTATATGTAAGCCTTTCAGGGAGGAAAAATTAAGAAGCACAAGTTACAACTTAAAACCATATGTAAAAACTGAACAGAAATAAGTGTTTTGGAACTTCTTCCACTACATTTTTCATTTGGAAGGTAGCACAACAGGAAGGTAAAGATGTGCAATAAAGTGCTCTCCAGAGACAGACTAAACAAAGAACCGCCCCCGCTTTTCCTGCGATCAGGAAGTTCCCAGCCAGAACAAAAAAAGAAGTTTTGCCAAGACTATCACTCACCCAGGAAAAATGAGGATCAGGATACCAATTACCACAAAGTTAAACATACTTGACACACCAGCCATATAAATAAGAACAAAAAGAAAGTGCTAGGAGAGGGCAGCACATACAAATGTCTCTGACTTGTGTTCCTGGGCCCTGTTGGGCAGCAGAGTGTAGCAGAGTGACCGAAGCACTTACCTTGAGGTACCCAACCTGCAGCACCAGGCTTTACAGGAGCTGCAACTGCTTTTTGCCACCCACTTCACTCAAGAGTCCCTCCTGCAGGGGACGAGGAAGGGGGCCGGGGCCAGAGGAATCATGCTGAAGCCATCAGGCTGATGCCTACTGCTTCTATCAAGGGTTAAGCAGAGCTTTTTCCAAAGACATGGGGATTTACAAGAGCCACATGTACAAAATGCAGCTGCCCCAGCACGTCTAATGCCCCTGGGAGGGGTACAAATGCACCAGGCTATAAGACCAATCGCCCAAGCACAGACAGGTGCCTTGTTCATTAGGTAATGGAGGGCAGGCCACAACATACAGCCCCAAAACACTTTCAGAGGCAGCACATGAGTGCATCCTAGCCACAGGCTGAGGATCATTGACATAAATCATGTGACAGATCTCCACACATTACAATAGTTTGCTTGTTCCTTATCTTTTTTGGAATAGTGTTCATACATAAAGGAAAAAATAAAAGTCTTCTTGCAGGCTCATTTACATTTCAGTCTAGAAAATGCTGAGTAAATTAACAAAACAGAAAACTATCGATGCAAAGAAAGCTTACAGCTGCATTGTATTATTTAAACACATTCTGCTTCCCAAAACAGACTCAATAACACACCTAATTTCAGAGCATTGAAATTCTTTCAAGAAGAATTATCTTACCTATCATGATGAACTGAGAGTCTGGTGTGAATGATGCCTCCAGCGTGACAGCCTTACTATTGTTATAACCCTATGACACAAAACAGGAGAATAGTAGCAGAGAATGTGTCCACAGTAATCTCGCAACCAAAGGGCACCAGCTCCCAAAACTAACACCAAGTTTCAAGCAGGTAACACAGGCAACATGCTCACCCCAAACGTATGCAGGACAGCTCCTTTAAAGGCATCAATCAGTCGAATGAACCCTCCGTTAGTCGATATGAGGATGAGTTTGCCATCGTTACTGAACTTCAGGCCTGTCCACTCACACGTTCGATCATACTGCATCTTAAACGTAGCAAACGGCCCCTTCAATCAAAAATGGGAAATATGATGTAGACTCTTGTATGCATTGCTGCTAACGAGTCTGCTTTTAACCTTAGCTCAGGAAAAAGTTCAAGATTTTTCAAAAGAAAATCTTTAGTCCTAAGATACCAAAGGAAAGCGTCATTGCAAAAACATGTCATTGCATGTGTCAGTTTAAGAAGTATGAATCCATAGTTTCCACAGCAAGAAAGAGCCACAATAGGGTGTTTCAATACCCAATAGTCCCATACTCTGCCACATTCAACCGCAGAAACAGAAATTAAGTTAAGGTAGGATGAAGTTTTCAAACAAGGCTGCTAATTGAAGAGCTTGAGCCAGTGTTATTGTCATCTGACTTTTTGAAAACCATGGAACTAACTATGCTCAGTGCTTAGCCAGTTCAGCTGCCCACCCAATTACAGTTTCCTTTGAAACTTCCATCCTTTCTGACAATCCTGGCTCCATCTTTGCCAGTGTTTTCCCAGAACAAGCAGCAAGGAAAAAAACCCAAACAAAATACCAAAACCCAACAACAACAAAAAGCCTAAACAGCAGTTTGGAACAGCAGTTAAAGAGTTAGCGGAACTTTAACATTAGTTCAGGAGTGGATTTCAGGATCTGGTGACAGCACGTACCCCTCCCTGTCTGTGAGATGTTTACCTACCGAAAACTCTCTAGGTGCCAAGCAGGCACCCCAGATAGTAAGTCGGAGTAAACAAATCCAGCCTCTGAGCACAGAGTTTAGACTACTTCTTGCAAGCTAAGAAGTGTAAGAAGTGAAGTTAGGGTAGCTCACCTTGTCGAAAGAACGGAGATCATAAAGCTTCACCATTTCAGAACTGACTCCAGCAGCAAAAATCAACCCTTCTGGGTCAAAAGAACACACAGGCTTCCCCTGGAGATGCATTAAACCCTAGAAAATAGAAGTCGTCCAAATTATTTTGCGAAACTGATGCTCACATTTCTACCACCACCTTTTGAGCCCACTGTGAGCAGGACAGCAGCCTATGGCTGGAACAACTGAATTTCAATTGTAAATATTGAGGTTTTACAAAGGTTCAGAACTCAGCTTCTCAAAAGCAATTCTGACTACTTCAGGTCATCATTCGGAGCTTCCAGTTCGCTGCAATGACAAAGTTTACATCAGAAGAAATCAAGATTCATTCGAGCTGTCATCCACCCAAAAAGTACCCAGAGAAGGGAGGATGATGTGGCTGTATTAATAACCATACCAGACAGTGCCACAAAACACTGCTGCTGGGATTGATAGCAACGCTCTACCAATTATGGTTGTGAAGGAGGGAAAAAAAAGTATTTTGAAAGCAAGTAGAAACAGCTCCAGTGAACACCACTGCTGAACTTTCCATGCCTGTTTAATGGTTTAATGAAAACTCATACCTTCTGGAGGCCAACAGACCTTACATATTAAAATTGACAGATTAGTATCAGTGCTTATTTCTAACGTTAACTTTTCCTTAACTCACATACTAGAAAAGACTTGAGAAAATTTGGTAAAAGCCAACAAGGTATATCATTTTCTGTATGCTGACTGGCAGATCTGTGCGTGTTAGCCAAATGTCCTTATGTAACTGTATGCACATAAATAAGAACACATCTTTGATTAAATCAACAATACATTTAAGAAGTTTCTGCATTTCTGAAATACCATTCTTCTCTAGAGAAGTCTACAGACTTTACTACTTCTCTCTTCTTTCTGATTTAGGTCAGCTTTTCCTGTGATCTCTGAAGGCTAGGCAGTAAGCTAGCCAATACTCAGGGCCCTCACAAGCGGGACACCTCTGCTTTCCCGACAATATTTCTAGGCACTACGGCTGCCATCTCATGGGCAAATCGAAAATTACAAGTAACACTTCCTCAACCTGTTTCCCAAACTTCCAGTTACAAATTCTAGTCTTACCATTCTTACAACTTCAGACATTAGCATAAATCACAGAACTGCTACTGAATTTACAACCCTATCTCATCTGTAGCAACTTTGAGATTGAGATTCATCCCAAGGGAAACTTACACACTGGCTTTAAAGGCCAGAGAAAGGCAAAATTAAGACTTCTTGTCAGAAAAAGCTTGGTTTTAAGACAGATAAAACCATTTTGTAAGAAATGTAACCTTTTCTTCCTTTTGCATTTACAGTTACATCATCTGGAATAATTAAATATCCCCCTCTCATAAGCAAAATGGTCCCAGTGAGATGGGAAAATATGAGAGCACACCACCGTGTCCAGATATGGGGACAAAACAGCTCATCACCAATAAAAGGCAGCGATTCTACTCCTAGTCTCTCATTCTTGTCCCTGCTGCCAGCTCTGGTACTTTGCCCAGCCCACACAAGCCTGCTGCCACTAAAAAAAGTACAGTAAAGTATTCCAGCAAAATAAATAAAAACAAATATGGTTTTGCCTTGCCAGAAAGTTAAATCTGCGCACAAACAGGTCTGATGAACAACAAAGGTGACGCAAGGAGGGAGGGTGTAGACCATATGGCTGCTATGTCACTTTAAATCATCCGTTTCTTCATCAAATTCAATTGCATCAAGGCATCAATTTTAAACACACACTATAAACATGCAGCTAAGATGCATTCCCAACCCAGGAGAGATGCCAGCTAAGAGAGAACACTCTCTGCATGGGGTAGCAGCCTGATGAACAAGCTGACGACACCCAGCTCTTCTCTTGTTTCATCAGCTGTGGGTGTTATTTCTTGCTCTTCCCAGCGCCTCTCCAGTAGAGACATAGGTGAAAGTGAGTGCTGTTACACAATGCAACATACATATTTCGCAGAGATTTGTGATCGAGGCTCCTTCAGCATTCCAGGAAGGTGTCAACACTGAATCAGCAGCATGTATTTCTGGCAGTATTTTTGTTTTATAACAAGCACACATCCATTTTTCATTTTTATCCTTCTAACTGAAAATGCAACACACTATGCACATGAATTTGACATCCTACCTGGCAATTTGGAGAGCGGAGATCCCAGAGTCGAATAGTTTTATCAAGGGATCCAGAAATAAAAGTATCATCCACTGGAGACATTGAAAGAGCAACCACTCTGCAACACAGAAGACCACATGCATCAGAGACACACAAAAGAAGTGAATGGAGCAACACCTACCCTAGCAGTTGTGTACAAGCTCGTAATTGCCATGACAGTTCTACAAAGTGAAAACCAGAGTGAATTGAGTGTAACGTAACTCAAGCTCATTACAATCATTATTTCAATTTCTCCTGTACTGTCTTCAAGCTACATCTTACCTTTTTGTATGCCCTGGGAAATACCGAATGTATTTGTTGTCATGCAGGGAGAGGTATCGAATTGTATCTGAAAAAATAAACAAACCATAAGCTTTATTATACCATGAACCCAACGTTATCCAGAAGTGGTCACACAGTAAACTTGCTCCCCACAGCAACAGCAATCTTGCCACAGTGAATAGGTCTGGTTGTTTGATTCCAAGTCAAACTTTGAAACAGAATCAAATTAGAAACAGACAAAAACCAACTTGGTTTCCAAGGCAGAACTGGAAATCAGGCACCAGGAAAAGATACTTCCCACAGTCTAAAGCCATATTACGTCTTAAAGGCAAACTGTCAAGTTTTTTGAAGTTAATTTCAAAGTTGCTAAAATTTAAGTACCAGTAGGTTTTATTCCATCATTCTCACAAATCTGAGAGTATCAAATTTACAAAGTTGATACTACCACTTTTTTTTGCTATACAGCATGAATCCTGCTGTCTTACCTACGTACACATCCAGAAAATAAGTCTCCAACTAAACAGTAAGCATAGGAAATGTGCAAATTCTAGCATTTAGCCAAAGAGAAGATAAAAACCTGAACTTCAAAGCCAGGACAAGACCATTAAAAAGTAACAAATCTCTCCTTTTTTTTAATCTGACAATCAACAGCTTAACACATTCTCTGCACTTAGAGCAGCTAAGCTTTAAGAAGAGGACAGAGGAGTAATCTAAACCTTAGTCCACTTAAAGCAATCTTAAAAATATATTGAATAAATCAGAGCAGCACCACAACATTTCTCAAGTGGTAATTTTATTCTGAGTATAGATGAACATACCAAGAGTAGCCCAGAATTGTGGAAGATGCTGTTGAGACTTTCCCCCAAGACTAAAAGAAATCCTTGTAAGAAGAAAAAATTATTAAAGCACAGAAGCCACTTTATGCGCAGATCCATCCGAGCAATGAAGCGTGAAGAGCACAAGTTAAACCTCTGATATCCGAAAGCAGCATCAGCAAAATCCCTTCTTACACTAGCTAGAGGATGCTGGTTTAAGCTATTGAATGGAAGAGATTGGCATTAGGCACCTGCACCATACAGTGCCAAGAGACTCCACACTGCCGTAACAAGTCCTGCTGAGACTTCAAAGATAAACTGAGGGAAAGGGACATTTTTACTTTTGACTCGGAAGAACAAGAGCCAAGAGGATGCAATATGCACAGAGCATTTTAATATTCATAAGGGCTACTGCGTTCAGAGCTTTTTGAAAGGCTCACTCAGCAAAATTCAGTTTCTGTGAAAAAATGATCAAGTTAGCATTTTTGCCTGACGTTTCACATCAAGTTGAGATCAGAGTTCTAGACCACCCTCCAGTATTTGACAAGAAAACTAAAGCTGACTGATCAAGCTGGTAACATGATGCTGGTGACACACCATTCTGAAAGGCTCTAAGTGACCTGAGGTGACCATCCAAAACATAAATCCCCAACACCACTGTCACATCCCATCATGGCTAGAACCGATATGCTTCAAGCATGCTGTTAAGACACATCTTTAGTTTGTCCTGCAAGAACTGTCGTTACCTGATTTCCAAAGTATCCATGCCAGAATTTCATCTTCCTTTGCTAAAGAGGAAGCACCGGGGAACTGTGATCCTTTGTGATCCTTTTTGTTGGCAGCGCTCTGTCCCAGGCAAGGCAGTGGCCTGTACAGTTATCTCCTGTACCGGGTGGTATCATAGACCCTCAAACTGTACAAACTACTACCTCAGCCTGGAATCAGGCAAGAGGAACTAGGTTCAAGGGTCTTGAGGAAGTCTTCAGAAGTGGATTGGTAGCAACTCCAACAGATAAAATGCTTGGGAGTAGGCGCCAGCACTCCTTTAACATGTTCCTGGGTTAATTTTCCCTCCCAGTAACTGCATAACAGGTTAACTACTTGCCCAAGACTGCATGCATTAGGGACTACAGAGTATCTGGACCCCTGCAGAACACACTGCTGGTTTTATTAGGCTTACAGTTCGTAACAGCAACAAATAGTTTCACATTCTGTCTTTTTCTTTTCTTCTAATTAAGTATTTATCATCATGCTACCCTGCAAGATGGAGACTGTTAAGTTTTGGTTCCTCAAAGGCTTACCACTGCTTATAAAAAAAACCATCACAACTCAAAATGGCATTAAAAATGCTTCATTAAATTGTTAATTAATTGTAAATTAAATAACAGGCAAGTCAGAAATGTGACATAACAAAGTAATGACTTAATTAAAAAAAAAGTAAGTAGGCTGTGAAACAGATTAAAAAGGCAAGTGCTTCCCGTCACACTTTTAATCCTTTTACACCATTAAATCCAATTTTGTTGGAAACTTCCTTGTTCCTCTAGTTTCAGGCCCAGCTTGTTCTAGTTTAACCTGACTTCCTAACTCTTAACTTCCATCTGCTCTAAATTCATACTCTTTATGTTCCTTTAAGGTTCCTTAAGTAACCTAGCACACACCACAGGGCACCAGTATCTCTATTGTCAAGCTCCATCTCTGCAAAGGAAAAACGAAAACAAAACCACTATTCCAGAAATGATTATGAGTTTACAAATACAATGTTAAAACCCATTTATAAAGTGCTGTGCTGAGAGACGTGTCCACTGAAAAACTCTCAGGACACTGACTACAACAAACAAAATTGAGACAAAATTTGAAAAGAACACTAGCGTTTCCAACTTTAGGAAGAATTAATGTACCTATCTGTGCCAGTTCCTAAATTTGAATTTTAAATTAAACTCAAATACATTAATAGAGAGCCTGTGTGCTGGTTTTGGCTGGGATAGAGTTAATTTTCTTCACAGTAGCTAGTACGGGGCTGTGTTCTGGATTTGTGCTGGAAACAGTGTTGATGACACAGGGATGTTTCGTCACTGCTGAGCAGTGCTTACACACAGCCAAGGCCTTTTCTGCTCCTCACCCCACCCCACCAGCGAGCAGGCTGGGGGGGCACAAGAAGCTGGGAGGGGACACAGCCGGGACAGCTGACTCCAACTGACCAAAGGGACATTCCATACCATATGACGTCATGCTCAGCATATAAAGCTGGGGAAACAAGAAGGAAGGGGGGACGTTCGCAGTGATGGCGTTTGTCTTCCCAAGTCACCGTTACACGTGATGGAGCCCTGCTTTCCTGGAGAGGGCTGAACGCCTGCCTGCCGATGGGAAGTAGGAAATGAATTCCTTGTTTTGCTTTGCTTGCGTGCGCGGCTTTTGCTTTCCCTGTTAAACTGTCTTTACCTCAACCCACGAGTTTTCTCACTTTTACCCTTCAGATTCTCTCCCCCATCCCACCGGGGGAGAGTGAGCGAGCGGCTGGGTGGGGCTTGGTTACCGGCTGGGGTTAAACCACGACAGCCTGTCACAAAGCTCTAGAAGCCCTTCGACGTCACCAATTTACAGAGTATAGCTATCTCAGACACTGACTGTGGAGAAACGGCATGAAAATGGGTGTTCTGTCCATTATATGGAAAAAAAAGATTAAGAGAAGCAAAGCTAATCTCAGAAGAGCTCTGCAACCTCCTCCAAGCTTGGCTGGTGATCTCCTGAGTTACCTGAACTTCCCACCCTCCTTGCTGCGTACAAAGAATGGAAAAACACGCCCTTCCGTTGCAGTTGACTTGTGTGTGTACCAGGCAGAGCTACAGCGTTTAGCCCACCTTCTGGCCACATGCTCCTTCTACCTCATCTCGTGCGCAAAAAATTAAGACACGGAGGCTGACTGATGGCACTGATATCAAACAGCAAAGTGAAGAGCAGAACCAAGAACCAAACTTTTATCGCACTAAATGTTTAATCCCTTAATATTGCAGCAATGAACAAAACTCACGTCAGCGTGCTCGAAGGAATATCACCAAGTTGTGCATTAGAGTTGAACATTAATTCCTCTGTCTCTGACAGCATGTTTACCACCAAAAAGTTGCTGTAATTTTTTCCCAGCTCTTTAGAGCTATTTATCCAGGCATGTAGTTTTAAGTGTAAGGAGACTAAATATGCTCAATTCTAGTCGATTACTTACCATCTATTTTGTTGGAGCTATACACGACAGTGTTGGCAGCATGTGTGTACCTGATGAGATCCACTCCATATTTCTTACTGTACAGCGTTCTCTTTGGTCTGTCAGAAGGAAGAAGAAATAATTGCACTCACTGCAACAAAAAGCTCAAACCAAATCTCACCACACTAACAAGGCCTGTTTTCACTGAGATATTACAAGATCATTTCAAGTTCAAGATGTTTTTATACAAAGAAAAAAAAGCATTTGTATTTGATTTTCAAACAAGCACCTTGGTGCTTACTCCAAGACCGTCCCTAGGCTTGAGGAGTTCCCTGTAACACCTGCAAAATGCATTTGTCTCCTCCAAAAATTCTTTTTCCCCATGATGTCTACTGTAAACAGAATATGAGGAGCTAGCATAACAAGCCCTTAATGTCAAGCAGCACAGTCTCATCGTTCCCTTGCCCATCCAAATCTTTAATTCATCTGCTGCTTATTTTAGATTGAGAATAATTTGTCTTTTTGATCTACATTACTTCAAAACCTAGAAGGGGGTGTCTCATTCAGAATAGGGCTTCTCAGTATTAAGACAAACACGTATATATGCCAGTAGTCTAAAAAAGCAATGGTATCACAGAGACTCCCAAACTACTGGAGAATTATACTCATATCCGATCTTAAAGCATGAAACTCAAATGTAACATTTTGCAACAGAATTAAAGACATTCTAGTGAGAGTGAAGAAAACATACAGAACTGGATTTTTAGGGGTCTGGTAAGCAAGTGATGTACAGCAGTACTAGAAATTTAAACTGCAAAGTAAACTTAGAAGTAGCTGGTTAATAAGCGTATCTTGCAGCGGTAGCAGTGCCTGTTTAAGCGGTGCAAGGTCTCCAACCACTCTCCTTCCCCTTTCTTCCTCAACTGAGGTAGCACGGTGGTTTCAAAGCTGGGCAGTCAACCAACAGGGGTACCGATCAACATCAGAAATAATACAATCTCTTTGGGGAGTTATTTTTAATCCAGAAATGTAACTCTAGTTGTTACACAGGCCCACAAAATATTTTACCAACACAAACCAAAGACGACAGCAGGGGAATGGAAACAAAGAGCAGAAGCAGTTTAAACCAATATTGCTACCAAAAGAAAAGTTTATCAGACTACACCCTCAGACAAGGTATTTCTAAAATGCTCAATATTTTCCTTGTTTTCATTAGCCTCAAACTGACACACCCAAACACGAACATGAGTTGGAGACTTTTCATATCAGAACAAAAATAGACATTCATTCTTAAAGATTAATTCTCAAACAGCAGAAGCCATAGGGCTTCAAATGAACTTGCTGGGGACAAGCTTCCATTAACTGAAAGCCAATACAGCAAGTGTAATTAAAACCCATACACCACCTGTACCACTTAGACCAAATCTCAACAGATTCTTCCTCAGTTCCTCCAGTAGATTTTAAAATCAATTTTCAGATGCAAACATGCTACAGATGGAAAACAACACATTAAATGTAAATTTAGACACCAAAATTCTGCAACATTATGCCTGATATACTTCCCCATACTGCTCTCTGTAGTTACCTCAGCTATGCTGTTGACCAAATTGGAAAAAAAAACCCACAACACAAAAACAAACCCAAACCAACAAAAAAACCCCACCAACCTCAAAACATACTATGAATCTCATGCCTAGTCTGGCTCTTCCTTATCTATGAAATGTTTAAAGCTCAGAAGCTCTATTCAGAATAAAAGAATATACACCAAAGAATATACACAGAGACAATAAAAACTGACAGATGGACAAAAGCACGTTTACCAAAAAGATGGAAAGAAAATAATTCTGTGTTTTAAGAAAGTAAAGTCTTCATGTAAGCTGATACAAGCAGAAGCATGTCACTTCACACAAGACCAACCGCCTGTTTCCAAAACAAGAAAACTAGATTTTACATATTTTTTTAAACAAATCAAAATCACTAAACATAATTCCGAGTTTAAGGTTAATCTATCTAGCCCACTTGCAAATCAAGCAATATCGTCAAAGAAAAATGCTTTACGAGATCACAGTCAAATCTGCTATAAAGACAAAACAAAACACAGGCAAGGTTTGTAATACTATCTGTGCCTTGGTTTGAATCACTACTAGTGCAAGTAAAACCATCATCCAAAAGCAGGCTCACTGATACGTCTAGTAAACACCACAGCTAAGCAGGAGTCAGATCCATCACCTCTTTATCTGTACAAATAATACACGATTGATATATACTAAAACACAAGCTAAACCTTTGCTAGACCACCATTATATCACACCAGGATTACAAATTTGCAGCCACAAGGCCCTATTCCCAACCTCAAGGACTGCTGTACATCCCAATACACAACTGTGTTCTAAAAGTTTTTAGAGTTCATTCTTAACCCCCAACAGACACAGGTAAGCCTCTTGGTTATGCTTTTGAGCCAGCCTGTTATGGAGGTATTTGGTGATGCAGAATGAGTTTAAAAAAACAAAAACCAAAAAACCCACACAATTTAGTTGTTTACACATTTTGAAATACAAGTGGAATCTCAGGTCCAAAATTACTGGATGCTCATGAAAAAGCAGGACAAATTTTTCAAGCTTGTTGCCTATGCTTAGAATATAAATGATAAGGGAATCTGTTTCAAGGAGATAATCTTGTCCTGTCAGCTCTTGGTTACACATCACTGTTTAAACTGTCCTGACACTTTCAGAAACTGAAGTTCACTGAGATGGGGCTTGGTGATATGGTAATGACTCTCGTAGCTGTATGGCTAATTTTCGTATGGCAAAACAAAGCAAACTGAATGAGGGTGTACCTAAAGTATAACCAAACACAGTTGCATTTTTAATTCTACCAGCAGAAGCCCTCATAAGGGGGGGGGGGGGGAAACCAACAACAAATTTTGTCACTTTTACATGGGGAAAAGTTCTAACATTCCGGCCATTTCATGAAGTAGAGTACCTTACACTGAAACCCAGCAAGCAGTTGGGTTTCCTCCTGGCCATTATATTCATTAGCAGTGACACATACAAGAAGGTAAGAGTTCCAGGCCCTTGAAATGGTGGTTTAAGAAAAAAAAACTGTACACCTGAAACTGCCAAATTCCACTATGTTACAACAACAATCATTCACAGATTTGATTTTTCATCTCCACATGAATCTCCCGTGACAAAGTAATTCACAGCTAAAACTTTCCAGGTGAGAGAAAAAGCGCGTCCCGCATCCCTAGGTACCTCTAAAAATCACACTTACACTTTTAAGCCAACCGATAGTACCTGAGAAACTTCCAAATTAATTTTATAACCACTAGAGAAATGCATCCTGAAACAGGGGTTACCTTGATGAAACTACTCTCATTGCCCTGTAGCACTGCAGTAGATGACCATCGATCTTCTACATTTAACTTAATTAAAGCAAACCCTCTGACTGTAAAGCATATATCAGGACTAAATGGAGATAGGGATGAAAGGACCAAATGCCTCCCAACCCATCAAACTATTCTTTACAAGTTTGAAAGGGGAAGAGCAATCAATACCATCTGCATTAACATCACTCAGCCCTTCTACTATTGTATATAATTAGGGTTTAGAATACAATCCATGGCAGACACCATACGTATGAAGTTACCTATTCTTACATAAATAAAAATTAAGTAATTTCAAATAAGAGTTCACTCTGTCAGACGCTGAACACCAACAACTGTAACATGTAAAGCAAGCAAACTAAATAGAAGTGTAAAATAACATGTAAGTGGTCTACAAAATTAAGAGAATATGCAGGATGCAATCTTTCAAACACAGCAAGTATGATGTCCTGGTCTGCTTGAAAAAGCAGGAGGATTAGGAATACCTGGTTTACTAGAAAATATACACAACACTGACACATCTACCTCCTGGAACTTCCAAGCCATTTTTTTTTCATTCCTACATTACCCTGCCCTTTTTATTCTCCCTCCTACAATACCCATGCTCGTTTTTCTTTCACTTTCTATATGTACATGATGCTCTCTAGTCTTGACTTTACAAAATAAAATCACCTCAGAATTACATCTCTACAGCAAGAATCACATGAAAATTAAAACTTAAAACTTAAAAGAATTTAAAGCAGCCAAATGCATACTTGTACCAACCGAGAGAGATTTTAATGGAATAATGACATCATTTGGCTCAATTTGTTCCAATTCTCATAGAATACAAATGCCTTTTGCGTACATTCCAAGACATCAAATGCAAGTGTTACTGGTGGTCTTATTTGCACGTTTTTATCCTCTGAACAAGAGCACCATATCTCAAGTGCTGTGCAAATTTCTGGGGATTTATCTGTAAAACAGGACAAGCATCGTGTGATCAATGAAAGAAGAAAGATAAACTGGACAACTGTGTTCAGTGAGAAACACACACACCTTAACTCATTACCCCTAAGTAACAGAAATCAATAAACACCTTGACTGATAAAATATAAATTAAAACAACGTTTGAAGACGCATGTAAACCATACATCTATTTAACTGTGCTTTACAGATAAAAACGCAACTAGAGAAAAGGATTTAAAGCACAGAGGACCACCTTTATCTGCAAGGTTCCCAGACACCACTTAGGAACTACGTTTTAAGGAAAACACCATCAAGTTTTTAGAAGTTACAGCAAACACACACCACACCATCTTCACCTTTTGGCTTAAAACATTTATCCAAGAAATTACACTCAAATTAGGTTGTTTAAAATAGCACATCTGCACACTGCTCACAGCAATTGCTTCTATTTTAATTAGTGAGACTTAAGCCCAGAGAAGCCTGAGAAGTCAGTCTACATATTTGTAAAAATCCCGAGGCCTGGAAATGTGACCAGACTCAATCCCTTAAGCTTAACAACTATTTAGTTCTCACAGCAGTGAACTCTCTCACACTTGGGAAATTACCGTCGCTGGCTCCAGTCTACCAGAGATAACAAGCAGAGACACCCGCAGCGCAGACAAACCCATGCTGCTCCCATCTCTGCACCCCACTTTAACCGTTTATAATCTCCCCCCGCCTCGCCAGACATCGTTGCAGTTCCACTTACAAACCTAGACTAAAAAACAACAGAAGAAAAGCTACAGC